TAGATAGATAGATAGATAGATAGATAGATAGATAGATAGATAGATAGATAGATAGATAGATAGATAGATAGATAGATAGATAGATAGATATTATGCCAGAAAAATCACTCCTTTAACTGGGTATAATGTCTTAAAGTAATACTTCAGTTTGAGCTCAACTTCCTGGAAGTGATAGTACAGTTTTCTTGGCAATAATACAGAACCCTTTTCCATTGCCTTCTTTTATTCCATTTTTATTTTATTTTATAGAATATCTTAAAACCCAGATGAGTTTTCAGCCCAAGTTAGGCTACCATATCTTTGGTAAAAAAAACAGTCAGAAGATGGCAGCAGAGAGATCGAAAATCTTAAATCTATGATGCCTCCTAACTTGGTTGCCTGTATTGTATATTAAAATAAGATTTTATTACTTCATTGCTTAGTAATGGAAATTCCTGTCCCAATTGCTATTGTAAGACTACTTGTATATATATTATCAGATTGTGTTGAATTGTTCATTTCAATCATTTGAAGAATATATTTTTTCCTAAAAGCATCTATGGAGAATAAAACTTTTTAAAGTTCTATGTAATAACCAAACTATTGTAATACCTAAGATACATTGCCTCTGTTATATTTTCAAGAAGCCACTCGGTATTAACTTTTGATGGCACTTAGAGACTGAGGTACAAAAATGATTTCTAGTTCTTAAACTGGATTTTCAGTAAAATAAATTGTCATTTTGTAAGCCTCCAAAAGGAACCTGATAACCCTATATATAGAATAATCCATATAATTCATATATCGTAAATATTAGTAATATTTTTGCTTTCACAAACTAAAGGGTAAACCTACTGCCTAGTAAATAAAGTGCGTTGTGCGTGTGTTCAAAAAACGTAAAAGTAATATGATTTTTTGGGGCTCACTGTAGGAGATGGCAAGTGATGAACTGAAAGAAATGAGGAAGAACCTTACCAAAGAAGCTATAAGAGAGCACCAGATGGCTAAAACAGGAGGAACACAGACTGATCTATTTACCTGTGGTAAATGTAAAAAGAAGAACTGTACTTACACCCAGGTATATCAGTTGTATTCAAGCAGCATTCAAGATTTGCAATTTTGTGAAATAAATTAAATAATATTAAATAATATGCTCATACCATATTATGAGGAACCAACAAGGAAAAAGATTCAACTACCTTAACAGTTCAAAGATATCTGTTTTCTACATGCCCATCACAGTATTAGCTTTTGGAGTTAGTATCTATCTATCTATCTATCTATCTATCTATCTATCTATCTATCTATCTATCTATCTATCTATCTATCTATCTATCTTATCTATATCTATATCTATATCTATCTACCTACCTACCTACCTATCTACCTACCTATCTATCTATCTATCATCTATCTCTTTCTACATCCATCCATCCTCTTTTTTGAAATATAATTTTGAACAAAACCATAATTTTGTTGGCTGTCTTGGGATACAGTATATTTTTCAAATAGTTAGAACATTACAGTAATCTGTAATTGATCTCCTCTCAAAATGATGTATGTTTTTATTAACATAAAAACATACATCATTTGATGTTCTTTGATGTTTAGCTTTTCTCTCTTCACATCAGATTTAGCACTAAATCTTCAGTCTCTATTTATAACATGTATCCCCAATATAAGAAGGCAAAGGCCCAATTGAATGTTTTCCCCAGACACTCATAACCAAATAAGATATGGAAAACTGTTTTTGAGAGTAATAACGGGCAAAATGTAGTCTTCTTGGTGTTGCTAGATTTTAAACTCTCTTCTAATACCATTGGCTATCCTGGCTAGAGAAGATTGGAGTTAAAAATTCATCTGTCACAGGCATACAAGAGAGAATATTAGCTGTTAAAGAGAAGGATTGTGGGTTCACTTAATATTTCATATGAAAATTATGACTTTATTAATATTTTGGACTAATGTAATATTGAATTAAAGGTTAGAGTTAGCATACATTACTAAGTAACTAAAAAATTAACTGTGATTAAACAACCTGGGCTTTTACATCTGAATAAACAATTCAAAGGATGTAAGGTGGGTTTCTACAGGGGGAGAGTTTTTTTCTGAGTTGGTACCCAGTTATGGAATTCTGTCCCAGTAAGGCTTACCTGATACCCACATTTGTATCATTTTGACACCAGGTAAATAGATTTGCATTTTCCTAGACTTTAAAATTAACTTCTAATTGTATTTTTATTCATATTGTTTTACATTTTCAATGTCCATTTGCAGCTGACTAGTTTCTATGGTGTTTTGCATTTAACTTGATTTTATCATATATGTTTTTATTCAAACTAATATGTTACATTGTGACTAAAGAGTTTTGGCTTTGGGGCAGTTTAATTATTTGTATCAGTAAATCAGATTGTACTGTTGTACTGCCACAAAATAAGAAAATTATATAACTGTAGCCAAGTAACATTGCTAATTTCTGTTTGTTTGGTTTTTTGGGGGGGAGGTAGGTTCAGACCAGAAGTGCCGATGAACCTATGACAACATTTGTTGTATGCAATGAATGTGGAAACAGATGGAAGGTAAAAATAACTAGCTTTGTTTGTATTTTGTGCAGTATTGGTTCTTTTTTTAATGTTAACCCTTTTGTTTTATTAAGCATTTTATATATATACCCAGAATAATGAAAATGAAGCAGCCTCATAATAAAAGAGAAATAAGATGGAAATGAGAATATTATAATTTTATGGTCAGATTTTGCCAAATATAGCATAAATGATAATAGAAAGAGGAAAACTAAAGTAGCAAGATTTACTTACAATAAACAAGATAAACTTAGTATATACAGATTGTTTTGTCAGAAGCTTTTAATTTTTTATACTGGAAAAAGTATACAAAACTTGATTACTGGTTTACATTTTCTCTATGAGGAACCTTTTTTTAAAAACAAGGGTACTATTTCAGAGTTTAGACAGTAATATGATAATCTTTAATAAATCTATAAGAGCTAGCAATAAAACTATAGTAAATATACGAAGTGGATTTTTTTTGTAGTTGCTATTCTGGGATATTTTTAAAGAGGATTCTGCATATGAAATTGAATGTAAAACTGATATCTGCAATCCAAAAAAAGTAGATTTAATAGATCCTCTATGTTTTTGAATTAAGCGCTTAAGATTGAAGTGAATTTTGATATAAATTCTGATGTTAAAATAGAATACTCAGGGTGTCCAAGAAGTAAAATATACATATTTGCATTCATAGAAAATAAATGGAATGAACCTACCTATATGTGCCTCTCTCATAAATATTTATTTTCTTTTTGCAGTTCTGCTAGAAGAAGAAATTGTTGGACCAGTTAAAAATAATTTTATAAATAGCTTTAAGAACTAGGTAAAGCCTCCTATTACTTGCAGAGATGTTTTTGTTTGTTTGCTTCCTTTTAAGCAGATAATTCTGAAGTTAGATTTTGTTTTTGACATGACCATCCCTGTAGTTAATAGTCAGAGCCAGGATGCTTAGTTGTATGGTGTAATATTTTTTCCATTTTTATAAGCAACTCTATATTAAACTTTTATCAATGAAATTTGGGTAACTGTTTTTTTCTTAATTTTGTAAACAATTTATTGTACTTATTTGCTTTTGACATACATGGTTGAATTTTTTTTTGCAAAATTCCCAGTGTCATACTCCATTTGAATAATTTCAGTGTGTTAAAGAAAATAGTTTTTCATTATACTAACAAAATAATCCATATCTAGTGTGGGTAGGTAGGCTCTATAAATCATTTTTGCAATTCATCATATTTCCTGTTCCATAACATACAAAAGCCTTTTTTGTATTGTCAAACTTCAAATAATTTTGAAATTTGTATTGATATACCCCTATTATTATAGAGCATAAAATATGCAGTATTTTTATATTAATGAATTCTAGTCTACCTTTTAATGTATTGCTTGATCTGTTTTGTTTGGTCTCTTGTTTTCCAAACATGACCAAAAACATCATGTAATTTACCAATCACACAGACATTTGGCAACAAATACATTTTATTGAAAAATAGTCTAGAATGAGTCCTAGATCTCAGAGGTCAGAAATAAAACTGTAAATTTTCTCTACAAATTTTGGTTGTGTATTGTTTCTCAAGCTTCGTCTTTAAAATATTTGCTAAAAGTGATTTTGAAAAATAAAAAGTATTGTTGAAAAAAATTAATATAAATTAAGCAGGAAGAATGGGGTACAAGTGTATTTGATCCCTGGTCTGTGGACCAGCACCGGTCTGCAGCTTGCCAGCTTGCACTAACAAGTGAAGGCCCATCCGCGGGATGCAGGCAGCATGTAAAACCCCTCTAGTTTGTGGAAAAACCTGTTTCTCCGAAACTGGTTCCTAGTGCTGAAAAGATTCCCCCCCCCCCGCTGATTTAAACAACCTGTCAAAGACTTGGAAGCCCAACAAAATCAGTCTGCTCTTCCTAACTTTTTTTTAAGCAATCAAATTTCTCTTTACAAAACAGCAAAATATTTACATCATATAATTGATTCTGAAGGGCACTAATTTTACCATGCTGCAGTGCACTTCCCATAACAGTTTTGGAGAGCTAACATAAAATAACTCCATACATGCTCAGACTGTGCCCCTGATGACACAGGTCTATTGAAACTACAGTTCACACCCTACTACACCATACTTTGTATAAGGATTCACAGACTCACCTCAGATAAAATACCCAGGAAACATCCATTTTTTAACATACAGTTGCTGTTATCAGATCAGTTCAATATAGTTTCTTTGAATGTAGCTAAATTTTGTTATACTGTCTGCAGAATTAGCCAGACTTTGACTGCATACTGACAATTCACCAGTAATTGTAATATATTAGCTTGTCTTTCTTTTTTCTGTTGTTGTTGTTGTTAATCTTCACTTTGATTCATAGTCTGGGATTGGTAAAAACGTATCAGTTCAAGTCCTAACCAATGACCATAAGAACTATTAGGGTACCATCAGAATATATAGGCAGTTCCGAGTAGATGGTCTTTTGCAATGTAAGAATTGCTTAATAAACACCAGCTTGGAATAATAATAATTTTCATCCCTCAAGCCATGTGGTATATTGATTCTGTGACAATAGATTTCACTTTTTGTGGATCTTACAAAATGCTGTGTCAAGGACGCTTAAATTTGTTGACACACAGAGAAAATGCCTGAGTTCTCCAGTGCACTGCTCGGAAAGTCCAATGCTGGGTTAACACAGCCTATCTGCCCTTGGACTGAGTGATATTTTTTAGTTGACCACGCCTCCCTTTGCCTCTGCATGCTCAGTTCGAAAACTCAGTCTGCCTGTTGGGACTGTTTTGGGAGAGCTTCAGTCTAAAGTCAGATAGGCTGGAAAGTTTCCCACTTTGGACCACGTTTGGATTCTCATATTGGAGAAAATTATATCTGTTGCAAGAACTGTCAAAATTGATGCCTTGAAGGTTTGTGTCACTTTAAGAGGGCACCCGGGCTTCCCTGAAGCTGCTGGTCGCAAGCGCTCCAGGGGACTGTAACCCCTCGCCCAGCGGAGGCTGGCGAGTGGCAGGAGCGGCAGGGGCGGTGGCAGACCTTCCCCAACTGAGCCCCAGAGGAAAATTCTCTCAAATGGAGGTTTGGGAGCCTGCAGGCCTTCTAACTACGGGC